AAACACGAATAAATTACAAATAAACTACGAATAAACGAATAATTACAATTACATAACTGTACTGAAAACCGCGAGAAAGACGATTTGAAAGCAACTCCACATATACATGCTGAATCTTTACTAAAAGAAATGTTGGATATCTTAAAAGAAAGAATAAAACGGAGCTTTTACTCAAGTAAGACAGAAAAATAATTATTGTAGCTGAAAAGAGCTTGACTTTACACCCGGTGTAGTAAAACTGTAAAGGAAATGTTTAAGGAAATTTTGTTCAAACCGGCCTCGTGAACATAAAATTTTGGGGAGTGCGAATTTTATCAAAAGATAACTTAGTATCGTGCAAAAAACCTTATCTTGCATGCCAACTAATGTTTTGATACAAAATTTTGATATCTTTAGGGACTGGTGATAAAGTATATGGGGGGTGGGGGAGGGGGGTGCAAAATCAGGGGGTGGGTGACATAATTTTGAACTCCTTTAAAGGGGTCGACTGTTGATAAAATTTGACAATTAAAGAGGGTGGGCCATTACGAAATAGAGTAGTATCATAATTGTCATCATCAGAATTTCTCAAGGAAATTTGCAGTTGCAGAGGATCTGGTTAGGAAGTATGTAGAACATCTGCAGTACCTTCGAATGAAAAAAATTAAAAGGGCAAATGAAAAGAAAAAAATAAGGAAGCAGCTGAGAAACTTAAAGCATACGAAGACTATGACTGCAAAGACATACAAGAAAGCGGAATGCTTTAAAAGAAGCAGAGGGTTGCAGTCTTGGACCTCTTTTTAAAAAAGCACAACTTGCTCAAGCGCAAAATGTACAATAGTGAGAAAGTCCAAGTAATAAATGCTTGGCTGTCTATGCAGCTTTTAAATACTACGACAAGTACAACAGAGGAAGAGCATAAAGTTGATTGTACTTCACGCGAGAACACTGAAGATGATGATACTTCATGTAAGGACACTGATGAGGATACTGAATACTTGGATAGCGACGAAGAAACTGATATTGTTTCTCATGAAATAGGAATCACTGATAGTGAGGAAAACGATGACAGAGAGAAAGAGGAAACCGAAACAATCAATGTTACAAGAAGTGGTAGACGTGTGCAACCTAGAAAATTCTTTTGGTATTTTGATCTAATATAGGTAAATAACCAGTGGATCCTTTTTTCAGGGGTGGGTCATCTGCAATTTTGCTTCTAAACTGGGGTTGGGTCATCACATTTTCAGCATCATTTTATAATGAGCCAAGATATAAAAAAACCCCACTGATTYTTTGATTTTGTCCCCCCCCCCCCCCCCAACTTAATGACCAGCCCCTTACGAGTTACAATATTTTACATATTTATACTAATTGTAACTATTACCATCAAGCTCTTTCCAGCTACGGTACGTAATTATCTTCTTACGAGTGATTGGAGACTTGTGGAATTACACGATTTATAATACACTCGACAAAATTACTCGATTTGCCAGTGGACAAGAGGAGTACAATTAAATCCCAAATTGTACTCTGTAGAGTCCCAATTACGTTGCTCAGTTTCGTTGAGTGTATTATAAACGAAAAATCGCACAATCGTCTCGTACAATTCGCAATTTATAGATAATCGTGATATTTTGAAAGATCTCAAACTCCAAATCGTCTAAAGACTCGTCCAATAAAAAATCAAAACATCACTGGTGCCTATAAATTCAGAATCGTAATCGAGATTGTACGATTTCCTATACAAAATCTCCATACATACATATACACATCTTTGCCTGCAACTACAGCTGTAATAACAAAGTCAGCTAAACTACCATTCGCTCTCGCGTCGATGCATAGTATTTTGCCTTCCATGGATACCACGTGTCGTTTTATTGAGTATTATTTCTTTATTCGCACGCTTCATATATAAAGTCTATTGGCCTTCCGGGGTTGCGCGGAAAACTGGTAACGAGTAAGACGCGCGCTGAATCATTGGTCTGTATTAGGGGACGCCATTTAGCGTTTTACAGTTTTTGAATGGAGTCATATTTACTTTGGGTGTCGACTATTTTTTAAGAGAGTTTACTAAGCTTTCCACTATATTGAAAAATGTCGTCCCTAAGAAAGCCCCATGATTCAACGCGCGTCCTACCAGTTTTCCACGTAACATCGGACAGGCCGATATTGCTGCAACGTCTGAAAGTAATGGGCATTTAGCAGGACCAAAATATTGAAATGCTTCAACTGGCTTTCAGCTTCATGTTTTGGTAGGGTATTAGTAGGGTATTAGATTTTGCAGCATTGATTTACAGCACGTTCAGGGTACGTAATGCCGTGAACCATAAAATGACTTCCATGTTCCGTTTTCATGTGGATCATCCTTAGTTACGTAACATACCACACACGTGAAAGAGTGTGTTTTATCCAATTTCCATTCACCGAGAATACGCTGACCTACACCATTTCATAGTTCCGTTCAGTGACCACGAATAATAGTCGCGTTCATGTCGAGGTTGTAGTATCCGCGCATAGCAAAACTACAGTTTATCATGAACGGCAATTCCAGCCTCGGCTAGGAACTATCATTACTCGTGGTCACAGAACGGAACTGTGAAATGGCGTCGGGTTGAGTTTGAATAAACGAGGCGTAGCCAAGTTTTTACAACCAACTTCGAGGTGCTTGGATAGAGGATGAAACGCTCTTTCAAGTGTTTGATATAATTTCTGAACTATTAATAATTCTTGGAGAAATTCAAAGCATAAGCTGCCAAATTCAATGCATATTAAGAACACATATCTAAACCTCCTTCTAGTGATTTTCTTTGTTTTGACCTCATAAAGTCATAATGAGTTTTTAAAAGTAAGTTCAAAAACTCATTTTAATGAATAAAATAATTCATGAGGAAAACACAATAGAAATCATGACCGCAAAGAGTTTTATAATTCTGATACATAATCATGTTCATTTGCATAAACTTTAACTTGGATTTTCTTGGGAACATTCACTTTTATCTTAAAAATTTTAGTGAAACACAAAGGAACTAACCTAGACGTTTGTTAATCAATATACAATATTCGTGTCCGTGTTGTATACGATATATCATATACAACACGGCCGCTCATACTGTATATATTACATACGTATACGGTATAGCTACACTACTGCTTCCAACTTGTCGTCAGCAGTATCGTTTCCTACTCATACGAGAACTGATCGCTTATTGTTCGTCATTCTCCCTTCTCAGATGATAACATGACATCAGTCACGTGATTCATTAAAAACAAATACACCCAGCCTTTTTCTCTTCTTTATTTCTCGACTTGGGTTCCTCACACCAGGCCAGACACGGACATAAGTCCATGATGGTTCTCTTACAGCAGAAATAGGTAATAAAGCAGATGAATATAAGAACCCAGAACACAAGTCCTATAGACCAGAAGGTATCAGCCGTACCACCTATCTCATCCTTCAGTGACGGGACTGCAGGAATCACCCTAGATAATAATTATCATTATCAATGTGACGAGGGTTGATAGAGTACAAACACTATATGTGTGTAACATAAATACCACTAAATACTGCTAAATTATGCTAATTCTATTGTTTTCTATTGTTTAATTAGCACTATTTACTACTAGTTAGTGCAAAGTGTTGCACATTTTTAGTGTTTGTACTCTACTACTGGGATAATTATTGCTAAATTGCAGGACTTTTCCAAGGTAAAATTATATAAAAATTCCACGACTTTCATGCCAGTAAGAGCAAATAATTTTTCTAACTCTTTTAGAACAAGCACTTTATACTCAGCTAAGTGTTTGTAGAAAAAAAAAACACACTTTTATAGCATTTTCATTCGCTTTCTTCTTTTCGCTGATGTGGGCCTGCTTCCACTCTGTACACTCACTACCACTACATTTACTATGTTATGCACACTGAACGCTCGACTCTCATATTGATTTTCACCGGAGAAAAACCCTTGTGACACAGGAGAGAACAACACATCGAACAATCTCAATTCACATGTGGCGACCGCAGGGCGACTGACAGCGGTGACTGACAGCGGTGAAAGACGACGCATTAGCAGCGTATAACACACATGCCACCCATGAATAACTTATATATTTTTTCCCCTTTTACTTTTCAATTTGTTGAACCATCAGTTCAACACCAGGAAAAGTAGAGAAAAACTCAAATAAAGGAAGGATAAAAAACACATGAATTATAAATGAGTGTTACCTGAGGGCAGCCACACCCATGCACGGGGTTAGGATAAGTAACGCGTAGATAAAACCAGCAGGCATGACCATGAAGAAACGAAGAAAGTAACAACTCCAGCAGAATGGATTACCGACCCAGAAATATAACGGCATTAAACCTGTCGAGGAGACGGTGAAGAAAGCACGAGGGATAAGGATTGGACCATTAGAGAATTGGAGGGGGGGGGGGGGGGGGGGGGAGGGATTGTCTAAATCCCTAAAAATTATCGAGCAAGCGCTTCATATACGAAAAAAAATATCGTGCAACCTCTCATTTTTAGTACAGAAATATTGCAATCCTCCCTCGCTTATTCAATGGTCCATACTTAAGAGCGTAAGATGTCTGTAAGAATCAAACATACGACCGAAAGGCTTAAATTTTGGAATTTTCATTGTGTGGTTAGTTTTTAAAAATACTTTTTTGTTTTTGAGAAAAAAGGGAAAAGAAAATTTGAGCTCCAGGGGCGGTTCTCGCCATCAAAAAAGGCTAAAAATTGCTTGCGTTCGTTTGATCTGCGTAGCAAAACTTTCATTCCAAATAGCCTTATGTTCAAAGTACAGCTCTTCTTTTCTCATTTACAGTTTTTTTTTTGTTTTTTTTTTTAATTGTACAATTCAAAACATTTCATTTGTGAATGGAAATTAGGGATGATTTGTTAAAGTAGGTAGGCCATCATGAGCGGTAAATCCTGCTAGATATACGTAGTAAATCTGGGGAACAACTCAAATAGATAACCTAAAGCTATCTTATTATTGAGCCAAGATATACATACCTTTATACAAGGCTAACAACCCAATACCGGTTATCATCAATGCAAGCCAAAGCTTAGTATTACTCAAGGACTGTTCTTTAGGAAGTGGCTCCGTAATAGGCGAACATTCCCAGCAGTTTACATCGTTTTTACCCCAAAAATGAACACTGATTTCCATGGCAAGACAGCTTGCAGGGATATCGTGGATAATACTCTCCAGAACCATAAACATACAATGGGTTATGGTGATGTTCTGGTAATACCGAGGTGCTACCTTACCCTCTACTTCAAGCGCAATGTCAGGGTCATGGAAATTTTTACACAGATTAGGAATAAGAATGATCATATGTACGATATATATTGCTGCTCCTACTCCCATTACTAGCATCATAGAGTATTCTAGTACTTCAAGGGTGTCAACATGATCTTCCAAGAGTTTTTTAAGGGTTGAGGAGGAGTTGCCTGGGGTGAATGAAGTGCAGTGGAAAGGACTACTTGTCATGTTACTGCATCGGCGCTGTGTCTTGAACAGTTCGACAAACAAAGCTGCATCTGTGGCGACGTTGAAGCCTTGAAAAATCCCGTAGACAAGAAACTGAATCAGAAATGCGACTTTAGCTGACATGTATCTACAGCATACCTTGCAGACTACTGAGCAACATGATATCATCAGTTCACAAGCACGGTCACACATCTTGATATCCCTACAAATGTATCACTCAATAACACGTAAATATGATCCTACAGTAACAAGAGGAAACATTAGCTACAGCTAATATTATCCACTGAAATTCCGATACGACACGAGTGCTTGTGTTACATCATAGAAGTACAACCAGTAACGCAATCTCTCATCCAACCTTCGAAGATAAAAGAGACAAATTTTGATGAACACCAGTAGATGTTTTCATGAAAAGCAAAGCAAAGGTAATGTATAAAGATTTATAACATGCGAAAACCGCTAGATTAACATGCAGTTTTCTTAGAAATACCGTGACAAATATCCCTCTTTCAAAATAAAGCTTTTCGCTGAAGTCCTTGGGAATAAGAACCATTAACCATTGACACATAACAGTTAAATAAATTCACTTATTTACTAAAATCAACTCATTGAAACATTGGAATCATATTGATGTAGATAATTTAGGTAAATCGAGGTAGCTTAGTGCCCAAGGCGATACTAAGAAGACCAAGAAACTTTCTTTGCTCAGCTATGATGTAAACTAACTTCAATCAGAAGTTTCAGAGTGTAACTGGTGACCTCTGATTATTAACATCGTTCATTATTATACTCATACTAAAATAACATCTGTTATCGTTGGTAATGGACTGATTTATTCTTACTTAATTTTCAAGACGAAATCATTCGTCTGTAGTAAAGTTTACCAGCTATTCCACTGCTATTCGCCTTTATCTTTGTCGATATCTCTTTCCTATTGAGATGCTTACCCAGAAGGGATCCACTGATGAAAAGAACGTTGGCGCTTTGGATTTTAAACCACGTTAAAAAAAATGAGCTCAAAGTTTAAGAAAGTATGGTTACTTTAGAATGTGTAAATGAGCAAGTAACTACGTCAAACTCGAAGGATATTTGCATAAATGTTGGTTTGTGGTACGCTTGACTGCGTGCTTTTGAATAACTCGTCACCAGGATCCCTCGTACCTCTGACAGTTCAGTCGGCATGGAAACAGACTGATCGCGCGCGCGAAAGTCTAAGGTCATACTCAAATACAAGGCTTTGGAGGACCAGCTGGCTAGTGTTAATCATCATATTCTGATTTTCACTTAAAATGATAATTTAAAGTAAATAGAATTTTTAAATCGCGAAAATTGTGAAACTAGGGACGTTCATGGACAAAAGATTCCATCGTCAGATTTTTTTGAATTTAACGTGATGAAAGCACATTATACTAGAAGTAAAATACTTCAACGACTGCGTTTAGCCCCCCCCCCCCCCCCCGGGGGGGGGGGGTACTACCACCCCAACATTTTACATACCCTACCCCAGACTAAAACTAAGAATTGTACACCCTATCTTAGACTAAAATACGGCTTTACAATCGATTGCAATCAATATTTACTAACATTTCTATTGTTTTTGGTCGGCAGAAAGCGTAGCCTATTCGCCACACGAAAACAACCAAATCGTTAACCCTATCCCAGACTAAAATGGCACCCTATCCCAGACAAAATGTCAAAAAATTATACCCTACCCCAGACCCAAAAGCCGAAAAACCATACCCTATAGGGCGGCACATACCCGTATAGCAAATATAGGGGAGTACCCCGCCCCGGGCGTTTAGCCTTGCGAATGCGTGAAAGATCCTTTTTACGATAAAAACGCACGAACAACGTAAACATGGAAAGCTGTAAAAAATAAGCCATAATTTACTGAAAAAAATACATTGATCGCCCATTTATCGTCTAGAAAAACAAAGAATAATTAGTGGGCATTTAAATTCTGTGTTAAAAATAAAAATAATGAAATTTTATTGTTTTTGAATTATTTCATATATTATTTTTATTTATCATAAGAGAGGGTGTAGGGCCTTCACGTTATGCTAAATTCTGTTCCAATTATGCACAAAATATGCAATTTCGATTTGATCCCATCGTCAGATTTTTATATTCTTTAGTAAATTTGAGTATTACAAATTACTTCCAAAAAACGAAATAAGAAAGGGGGCTTTGTTTTAGAGCTATAAGAGGTTGAAGGGAGAAGTTTTCTTGATATTTTACTATCAAAACATTGGAATGAAGTTATCACGTTGAACGACGCTCACTAAATTCATGCGTTGAAAGGATGCGCGCGAACAATGACCATGAACGTCCTTAAGGTGTCGCGAAAATTTCATTAAAAAGGTAGAAACATTTTCCTGACAGTCCGATGAACGTAGCCTGTGTACGACCGGGCTTTCCACCCCTCCCCCTACGGGGAAATGCGGAGTGGTCTCAGTTCACGTGATCCCTTGACACCTGATCCTCGAAATTTTTAAGTTATATTTTGTTTGTTGATCAGGTCAAAAGACGTGCATGCGCATTAGCTAACTTAGGGCTCTTTCTTTCTTTTCTCTTTAGTGCGCATGCGCATTCCCTCAAATGTAGTCCCGAGTCAGGGAAGGGCCAATCTCGTACCCAGAACCCACGTTCCTCTTGGTTAGTGTCGAGAAACGTTTCTCAGTACTGACCAAGAGGAACGCAGGCTCTGGGTACGAGAATGGGGAGGGGCAATACCGCAGCGAAACAGGGCTCCATCCTATAGTTTTAGAGACTTCTAGTCTATAGATTGTTTGTTTTAATGGCTGCTAATTGAGCCTGAGAACAGGAAAACAAGAGAGTTATGGGAAAGAGGGGACTGGAAACCGAGGAATGATAATTGTGGAGCGATGAGAGGGGACTGGAGAAGCAAAGTTTTCGCGAAAAAGAAGAATCTTCTAAACTTAAATCAGTCATCTTTATTTTCCCCCATCTTAATACAGCCACATAGTTTTACTTCAAAATTAATTATTCCAATTCCTTCAGTTTGTTTGATATGATCATAATGATGATAGTTCAAGTAATGCGATGATAGTTAATTCATATAACAATTTCTTTATAATATAAAATAATCTCTGACATACAGACATCTTACACTTCTTATTGCTTAATCTGGGAGCCAAAGATCCCAGGCGCCGAGAGTACATCTTTATCCGCCTGGTTAGACAAATGAATAAGAAAAACTCCTTCTATACATAAATTAAGAAACGAAAATTTGTCCCCTATGGTACCACTGAAAGATGTGCCTTACCTGGGTCAGGCGTTCGAGGCGTATTTTAACCTAACGTTCTCCTCGACTAATGGCGAACGTTTTTACATGAGGTTTCCGAGAATGGTATAGTAGTACTCTGGTGGTGACAACTCTTAATTTATCTATTTTATACTAGGGCTTGCAAAATAAAACCGCTGGTCAACTGATAATAAGACATGCCTGCACGCCAAATGAATAATTAAGTAATAAATAAAGTCGAGAAAAAAACTGGTCCGAGTTGGCATTTCAGTGCATTGTGGGACTGTTTTAGCCGCCATCTTGGAAATATGCCTCTAAAATAATCCCATAATGCACTGCGATGCCAACTCGACCAAGTTATTTCCTCAACGGGAACATTACGCCCAATTACTAACATTGATATCTCAATCTCTTAACCTCTCTTAACAGCTGCAAATAGTATGCTTTTTGCATCAGTTTGATTAAACCATAGTTGACAGTAGTCAAAACGAAGCCTTTTTTCGCTAGAGAATTTCATAGTTACTGGATTAACATTGATCTACATACAGGCAGAGAATGGTTGAACGAACGGACGGATATAGACAGACAGCGCGACAGACTGACTTCAAATCGAAGGGAATTTAACGTTAGGGCCCCATTAATGTTTCTGTGACCAAACAGGCACGTTATTTGTAGAGGTTTTTTTTCCCTTTCGAATTTACAACAGTATGAGAATATCACTAATGGAAACTAACGACCCATGGAAGCAAACCTCATGAAGAAGCAATACCGGCCACAAAACAACTATTCTCTTTGTGACCCCTTAATAACATATGTATTCACATGTATATATAATTATATGTGCATGCTCCTAAAGCGAATCCCACTCCTGAATTAAGATGATACTCTGGTACGCACATATATTCAGTTCCAGTGCCTGCGCAGAGTGGGGTATCTCCGCTGTCCAAATGAACTGCATGCTCAGCAACATAGACATCCTTTTCCATCCTCCTTCTTTTTGCATTCACAACACATAGAACATATGCACTTGCCGCACAAAAGCCAGTACAAGAGCGCGATGATGGCAAAGATGCCGTAGAAGAAGAGGCCAAAGGTCCAGATGGTGTCGGCAAACGTGCCCATTTCTTTCTTCATCGACGGTTCCACCACGAACAGACGGTTTAAGGCAACACCCATGGATGGCGCAAGGGTCAAGACGCAGTAAAGGAATCCCGCGGGTAGGACGACGCAGATACGTAGAGGATAACACGCCCAGCAGAATGGGTTACCTATCCATGCGTACAAGGGTAGAATACCTGTGGATTGAAAGCAAAATAAAATGATGAAGGTATCGAGGAATAAAGGCACTTAGTCTACAGACTACCAACTTAACTTTCTAATTATTACGAGGGCTGCAAAATTCCAATTCTATCTGTGCGTTAAAATTAGGTAGACTTAAGGTTCGAGTTGATTTGAATAATCACTCTCCCAAGGCGCGCGCTTCAGCCATTTGTTTTATCATATTGCTTTTGTTGCTGTTGTTTGTTGTTGTTGTTGTTGCTCTAAATTTGTTTGTTTGCTCGTTTTGTTATCTACGGATTTGCAATTGCTTTGATTTTTTATTTTTTTAAAAATTTTTTGTGCTAAATGCATTTCATATGCATGTTTTAGTATAATAACACAAGTTCGGTAATACGGTTGTACGGTTTCTTTACATGCATGTTTGAGCCTTAACTGAGATGAACTGACAAACATCTATACCACGTGACCTCATTGTTTATTTTTACCACAATTGTGAATTTTCTCGCTTTCTGATTGGTCTAGAGCCAGGGGAAATAGGAGGACGTCCCTCTAATTTACGTCAGCAAATCACACGCGCGCTCAAAACCATTTTTCCTTCAAATTTACATCATTTTTGTAATTAAATTCCCAATTTTATGTGGTAAAAAAATGCTGTGGACTCCCTTGGTTACGTCTCTTGATTCCACAACATTTTGACGACTAAATGACGAAAAGTTTTGATAAATAAGAAGACATACCACGAAAAACTGGAGGAAATTGGTTAAATATTCCATAATCTACGTACCTTTGTATATGCTGACCAGGGCTATCGAACCAAGTAGCAGTCCAAGCCACTTCTCGCATCCTGGTAACGATTGGTCAACAGCAGGAAGAAGATCCATGGACGCGGCGCATTCCCAGCAGTTTACCCCTCCTATCCCCCACATCTGCGCGCACATCTCGATAGCCAACGACGACATCGGCATATCATGAATGACACTTTCAAGAAGCAGAAAAAGAGTATGAATCTGCAAGATCTTCTGGTAGTACGCCGGGGCCTCGGCAAGCATGTTCTCGAAGTTCTCGTCTCTCCAATGTCTGCAGGCGTTTGGAAACAGCACAGCAATATGAACCACGTAGATTCCACCAGAGAGACAGATGAAGAAGAAGAAGACGCCTTGTAGGATTTGCAGCGTTTGTATCTGATCCATCAGGTGACCTTGCGTGACGTTTGACAAACTATTGAAGCAGTAGATGTGGTCTGTTACATTGGTAGTGTTGCCAATATAGATAATCGTAGTTGCCAAAGCGTTACATTTCGAGTACATTTTGGTCGTTTCGAAGAATATCCCCACGTCTGTCCCGATGTTGAAACCTTGGAAGAGTGCGTACAGGAATATTTGGATGAAAAATCCCGCGCCTGGAGAAACAGGGTTGCAGAAGCATTTGCAGAGGGCACGGCACATTGCCATGCAGCTTTTGCCAAGGCACTTGAATGTTAAGCCGATGCATTTTCCAATACAAGTGAAGAGGCACATCTTTGAAGTGTTTTAAGTTATTACTAAGCGTGATATGTATATGAGTATTAAGCAATCAAGTCCACATAAGCAAAGCTAAGGCAGCGTGTTAAGTATTGACCAATGAACAAATAGTATTTTCTTCAGATATATTTTTCAGCGTTTCTACAGTATAATTATACTTCCAGTTTCTTTGTTTCAATTGTGAATACGCTGTTCTGTGTCTCATAGAGACGGAGCCGTGTAGCAAGGCGAAGTCTTCTGTGACCACTTGACAGTTGCTACTGAGCTTTGTGAGGACTTTCCTCATACAAAAACATCTTTGTCTTGCTGCCTTTCACACCATCTGCACCAAAACCTGTAAGGAAAGAACAGCAAAATTCAAATTTTTATAATATGGATATTTTAACTCGGGATAGTATTCGAATTGCATTTGAATCAAAATAGCCAATCAAGTTTTAAATAAAAGTGAGATTAATCTTAGGGGATCCAGTATTTTGTCATAACCGTCATACAAGCGCTGATAGTATCTCATTCCTACACAAACCATGGAAATTCGGTTTTAAAATCGTTATTGCCGGTTTTCAATCACTCCCAACGGAATAGAATAACAAAAGACAAGGCGGCCATGTTGGATGATATAACAAAAAAGACTAACGAAGAAGAATCATTTGTTACTATATTCATCTAACATGGCGGCTGTGAAAACAATCAATTGGAACTTTTTGTAAAACTATAAATTTCCATCCCGCGGACGCCATTGAATTTCAATAATCAATCTCAAAACCTAATTTTGACCTAAATATGTGTTAAAAGATTCTTTTAGTAGCGATCAGAACAATTAGATATTTTCTTAAATATTTTGTTACACCCACATTGCAGCTTCTGACTGACTCCGGCCTAGAGTGCATACCATATATCCATGAAAAAGTTAACGGAAAAAATTGTACAATTATAGTGCAAAGTTTTGTAGTTCTGTAGGAGAGAGTAAAATTTTTGTTTTTACTTTCAATTGGTGATTCTTTTATTAAGCTACTTGTAAAGAAC